TGCTTCTACTTTGGTCTCTTGAAAATATTTTTTAGCCAATGTTTATATTTTTAGAAATGAAAACACTGCTCAGCCCTTGCTGATTTTGTCCACCCGAATATTTGTATATGGCATATTAAAGACTCATTGTGTGGAGCTCACCTTTGATAAATTGTAATCTTCCAAAACATTTTTATGAGATATATTGGACTGATTCTCAACCAGCAAAAGCTTTTAAAACCAGGGGACTCACTTTCTCTAATTTCAGTGCGAAGTTCAGTAGATAACTTTCTCTAATTTCAGTGCAAAGTTCAGTATTTATTCTTCTACAGAATAAATAATCTGCAACCAGTTATTTCTGTGGAGATGGCACAAATCAGTGTCAGCCACTTTCCTTTCTCATCTAACTTTTAAAAATAAGAGCCAGATCATTTCTTCCTAATGATTTACAGCAGTGATGGCAAACCTTTTAGAGATCGAGTGCCCAAAAACTGGCCCCGCCCCCACTCCACCCCCTGCCCCGCCCTTGCTCTGCCCCTACCCTGCCTGCCCGCAGGGCCACTCACCGCCTTCAGGGCCTGCTGCAGATCGCCCAGCAGCGCCATGGTGGCCACGCCCTCTCCTGCACCCCGCAGCATCAACTGTGCGGGATGGGCCATGAGGGCAGAGTCTTGTCTACGCTGCTTGGCTGCCATGTCCTTGGCTGCGCTGCTCCGTGTGGCCGACGCTCAGGGGTGACTCTCCTCCAGGGGGGCTGCTGGTGAGGGAGTCACGGGGGAGGCAAGGCTGGGGCAACGGCACGTGTGCCCACAGAGAGGGCTCCGAGTGCCACCTCTGGCACCCGTGCCATAGGTTCGCCACCACTGATTTACAGTATTACCTACCCATTGTCTGGTCAAAAAATAAAAATAAGGTCAAGAGCATATTATAGTATAGTGACAATGTTCAATTATTAGATTCAAGTATTGCACTAAACCATGGGTTGTTTTGACTGACTTCCACAAATTGGTAAGTCACAAGCCATGGTTTACAAACCCCAATGCCTGATTCATACATGAAAAGGTCATCCATGCAAGATATATTAAATGTGACTTGATAATAAGCGAGTCTCATTAGCCTTTTTAAACAGCACTTACAATGTGAAGAATAGATCAGTGTATTGCATACATGAGGATTATAAGACTCTGAGAAGTTCTCATAATAGTCCCATATGCTGCTTTGGCTATTTAAAATCAATCTCAAAGTCAGACTAGTTATTTGTGCATGTAGAAGGCCACACATCCATGGAGAACTGCATGTTAGAAACGAGCAAATCAACATAACCTTCCATATCCAGAAAAGCTTTTCTAAACAATATCCATATCTTGTGTTTTCTCTCTTTTGTCTTTTTTAGATATTCACCACATTGTCAGTGACAAAGCGTTCTGGTGGAAATGTTGTTCAATCTGGATGCTGAGGTTAAAGTCACCCGCTGTTTGCCATTGCCAAAGACTGACTTTCATCACCGTTGCAACCTTCAGAAGTCCGTAGCTGGGAAGTAAGAAAGCTTTAAGACCTGCTTTCCTTCAGCCGGCAGAGGAGCAGGTGAAGAACACTGAAAGCTGCAAATTAGTTGTGATGATCGCATGGCAACTGGCACGACAGCGGGATGGACTCATGATCAAGATGCTGCTGGCAAGGCATTGGCAAGATGCTTCCATGAAGTCATAGCCTAAAACCAGTGTCTCTGGTAGGCAATGATGGAACAATTGCCAGCACACCTTGAAATTAACTCTTTCTCTCATTGGAATAAAGAGACTTCTCTTCACTTTCGTTATTTTTATAGACCCTCCAAAACACAAATCTATCTGGACTTCTACAGAAACAAGTGACCAAGTTCTGAAGAAATAAATGTGTTTCTAATATGTAACAGCAGATCACTGTGCCCTCTCAGATTCTGTAAAATTGAAAGGGATACTGTGCTATTCCCGTTTAGAAACTGTGCTGTATCTCTGATGCTAATTACACTGAGTCATTCAACAGGAAAAACTCCCCCCCCCCTCCATCAAAGCAAACCATGTCTGAATTATTTATATAAAATACTATATAGAAAGAGATCTATAAATATGTTCCTGAAAGCTTTTCTGGTTCATAATGTTCCTTTGTGCATTCTGAAGTACTTTTTTTCTTGATGTGCTGGATATTAATGTGCTCTGTTTAAATCTACTGCATCCCATTTCCACACACATCACCCTGTTCAGTTGCGACTGAAGAAACATGGGCAGTCTGTGATCAGATTAAGTAATCAGTTACTCTGTTGTAGGACTCTCTAATCAGTTAGTTTATTGCAGGACTCTCCCAAGTCCCTGAGATAATCTTAGAGAAAGAATGTTATTTGTCACTTCTGGTTTAGTCCTGTCTACTTGGTAGCCTCCCAAGGGTTTCTTAAAAGAAATATTCCTTCCCCCTCAATCTGGCAGGTGCAAAAGATCAAATCACATAAAGGTCCAATTAAACTGATTTATTGCTAAGCAGCCCACAAACAGGAATCTTCTTAACTACTGGTTAGCATCTGCTTTGAGTTAGATAAGAGTCCACCAAATTCGGGGTGGCTGGGTTTGAATTTAGTCTGCTTGTGGCTACGTAAGGATTTTAGACTGATCTCTCTTTTAACTCTGCCCCCAGGTTCTGCCACTCTTCCTCCTACACAATCCCAATATAAATTAAAACTTTTTGCATAAATGATTTAAGGACACTGTGACTTATATTCTGAGAATGAAATGTGCTCTCCTCAGCAAGGTAGTGTGGGACATAGTTGCAGTGTTTTTTCTGTATGTTCTGCTTCACATATTATATTACATCTTGGTTTGCTTAGCTAACCGCAGTTAGTTGGGTTCGATCCATTGCTACAGCACGCTGGCTGAGGAATTCTGGGAGTTGAAGTCCACAAGTCATAAAAGGGCCAAGTTTGAAGACCCCTGGCATAAACTGTCTGATATCATAATGACTGATTTATACAATCTGTTGAAATAAATCATTTCAAATGATTTTAAATAATCCATGTTACTGCAGGTCATGTGATGCTAGTTTGTGTTTTCATTAATCAGCTGGATTGAACTCTAAAGGATCTTCTTGGATTGGCTGTTGGTTTAGGAGTCAAACTGTTGGCTCAAAATTTATTCAATGTATCAACACAGAAGAACAAAGATAAAAATATAATAGCATATTCTGTTTAGTGAAAATCCTGTAAGGAAAGTGTATGCGTAGAAAGTAATCTTTATAGAGATGCATGAAAGAGCTTAATTACTGAATCCTAATCTTGTTTTGCTGCTAAAACTCCATTCTTAAATCCCTGCCAGAAAACTTATAATGGTTTTAAAAATAGTTTTAGGAAACAGAGATTAGATTTAGTTTCACCTTCTGTTGGTACTAATTTGATCAAGGANTGCTTCTACTTTGGTCTCTTGAAAATATTTTTTAGCCAATGTTTATATTTTTAGAAATGAAAACACTGCTCAGCCCTTGCTGATTTTGTCCACCCGAATATTTGTATATGGCATATTAAAGACTCATTGTGTGGAGCTCACCTTTGATAAATTGTAATCTTCCAAAACATTTTTATGAGATATATTGGACTGATTCTCAGCCAGCAAAAGCTTTTAAAACCAGGGGACTCACTTTCTCTAATTTCAGTGCGAAGTTCAGTAGATAACTTTCTCTAATTTCAGTGCAAAGTTCAGTATTTATTCTTCTACAGAATAAATAATCTGCAACCAGTTATTTCTGTGGAGATGGCACAATACAATGTCAGCCACTTTCCTTTCTCATCTAACTTTTAAAAATAAGAGCCAGATCATTTCTTCCTAATGATTTACAGCAGTGATGGCGAACCTTTTAGAGATCGAGTGCCTAAAAACTGGCCCCGCCCCCACTCCACCCCCTGCCCCGCCCTTGCTCTGCCCCTACCCTGCCTGCCCGCAGGGCCACTCACCGCCTCCAGGGCCTGCTGCAGATCGCCCAGCAGTGCCATGGCGGCCACGCCCTCTCCTGCGCCCCGCAGCATCAACTGTGCGGGATGGGCCATGAGGGCAGAGTCTTGTCTACGCTGCTTGGCTGCCATGTCCTTGGCTGCGCTGCTCCATGTGGCCGACGCTCGGGGGTGACTCTCCTCCAGGGGGGCTGCTGGTGAGGAGGGAGTCATGGGGGAGGCAAGGCTGGGGCAACGGCACGTGTGCCCACAGAGAGGGCTCTGAGTGCCACCTCTGGCACCCGTGCCATAGGTTCGCCACCACTGATTTACAGTATTACCTACCCATTGTCTGGTCAAAAAATAAAAATCAGGTCAAGAGCATATTATAGTATAGTGACAATGTTCAATTATTAGATTCAAGTATTGCACTAAGCCATGGGTTGTTTTGACTGACTTCCACAAATTGGTAAGTCACAAGCCATGGTTTACAAACCCCAATGCCTGATTCATACATGAAAAGGTCATCCATGCAAGATATATTAAATATGACTTGATAATAAGTGAGTCTCATTAGCCTTTTTAAACAGCACTTACAATGTGAAGAATAGATCAGTGTATTGCATACATGAGGATTATAAGACTCTGAGAAGTTCTCATAATAAAATCTCAGTCCCATATGCTGCTTTGGCTATTTAAAATCAATCTCAAAGTCAGACTAGTTATTTGTGCATGTAGAAGGCCACACATCCATGGAGAACTGCATGTTAGAAACGAGCAAATCAACATAACCTTCCATATCCAGAAAAGCTTTTCTAAACAATATCCATATCTTGTGTTTTCTCTCTTTTGTCTTTTTTAGATATTCACCACATTGTCAGTGACAAAGCGTTCTGGTGGAAATGTTGTTCAATCTGGATGCTGAGGTTAAAGTCACCCGCTGTTTGCCATTGCCAAAGACTGACTTTCATCACCGTTGCAACCTTCAGAAGTCCGTAGCTGGGAAGTAAGAAAGCATTAAGACCTGCTTTCCTTCAGCCGGCAGAGGAGCAGGTGAAGAACACTGAAAGCTGCAAATTAGTTGTGATGATCGCATGGCAACTGGCACGACAGCGGGATGGACTCATGATCAAGATGCTGCTGGCAAGGCATTGGCAAGATGCTTGCATGAAGTCATAGCCTAAAACCAGTGTCTCTGGTAGGCAATGATGGAACAATTGCCAGCACACCTTGAAATTAACTCTTTCTCTCATTGGAATAAAGAGACTTCTCTTCACTTTCGTTATTTTTATAGACCCTCCAAAACACAAATCTATCTGGGCTTCTACAGAAACAAGTGACCAAGTTCTGAAGAAATAAATGTGTTTCTAATATGTAACAGCAGATCACTGTGCCCTCTCAGATTCTGTAAAATTGAAAGGGATACTGTGCTATTCCCGTTTAGAAACTGTGCTGTATCTCTGATGCTAATTTCACTGAGTCATTCAACAGGAAAAACTCCCCCCCCTCCATCAAAGCAAACCATGTCTGAATTATTTATATAAAATACTATATAGAAAGAGATCTATAAATATGTTCCTGAAAGCTTTTCTGGTTCATAATGTTCCTTTGTGCATTCTGAAGTACTTTTTTTCTTGATGTGCTGGATATTAATGTGCTCTGTTTAAATCTACTGCATCCCATTTCCACACACATCACCCTGTTCAGTTGCGACTGAAGAAACATGGGCAGTCTGTGATCAGATTATGTAATCAGTTACTCTGTTGTAGGACTCTCTAATCCAGTGGTTCTCAACCTTTTTAATGCCGCGACCCCAACCGGTCGTAAGTCGAGGACTAAACCAGTCGTAAGTCGAGGACTAAACCGGTCGTAAGTCGAGGACTAAACCGGTCGTAAGTCGAGGACTACCCAACCGGTCGTAAGTCGAGGACTTTCCCTGCCCGGGAGCGCCGCACATGCGTGGTTCCGCCCCCTGCGCCGGCCGAGGCGTAGCTGGCAAGCGGCAGAGACGGAGCAGGCCGACCACCAGCTGGCCCANGTAAGGAAAGTGTATGCGTAGAAAGTAATCTTTATAGAGATGCATGAAAGAGCTTAATTACTGAATCCTAATCTTGTTTTGCTGCTAAAACTCCATTCTTAAATCCCTGCCAGAAAACTTATAATGGTTTTAAAAATAGTTTTAGGAAACAGAGATTAGATTTAGTTTCACCTTCTGTTGGTACTAATTTGATCAAGGATGTAAGTCTGTGTAGCTGCATCAGGCAAAAGTGTTGAAATAATAGAATAAAATATAAACTATAGAATATATTGTTGGTGTTACAAACGGACTGTTGGTATTACAAAAAACACAATGCAGTGTTCACTTCCTGCTGCTTAAGCAAAGATAGCAGCTAGAAAACGGGGTTAGATACATACACTAATTTATAGAACTACTTGCCTTCAGAGGTAGTTTCATTTAGCAAAGGTTTTTAATAGATATTTCCAGTAAAAGGCAGGACAAGAAGCAACGGATGGAAACTAACCAAACAGAGAAGCAACCTAGAACTAAGGAGAAATTTCCTGAGAGTTGGAATAATTAACCAGTGGAACAACCTGCCTCCAGAAGCTGTGAATGCTCCAACACTGGAAGTTTTTAAGAAGAGACTGGACAGCCATTTGTCCGAAATGGTATAGGGTTTCCTGCCTGAGCAGGGGGTTGGACTAGATGACCTCCAAGGTCCCTACCAACTTTATTATTAATATTTTTACTACTACTACTACTACTACTACTACTACTACTACTACTACTACTACTACCCTGAGGAGCCACAAGTATTGTAGCATGGCCCACCATAGTGCTGAGAACTGCCATGAGTGCTTGGGTTAATTTGTGAGATTCAAATTTCATGTCCCAGAATGCCCTAGTCGTGCCATTATTCTGGGGAAGTGTGATTGTGAAAGGTTTAAAATGTTATCTCACACTAAATCTCGTGCTAATTGCAGTTGATAATATAGGTTCTCTGCTGATGCTGGCTTGCCAAAAAGTTCAGCAGGCCAGGAATAGATGGTAAATCATGCTAAATAATAAAATGCTTGTGTATTCTTTGTGAATAAAAATAGTTGCTCCCTAGACTGATCAGTCATGACTTCATATGCAGAGTTAGAGTGATAGAATGTTAATTATTTCAAAGATGA